GTTATTGTGTTTTTCAACCTATAATGTTTCTTTGTATAAGCAAAATGTATCAATCTATTTTATTTCAATTGCTTTGCGCAATTGCTTCCTAGCATAGTGAATAAGCTTCGCATTATTGCTGCTGCAAGTCTCACACAAAAGTCAAAAAGTTCTTCTGACACCATTACACACTAAACTTAGAAAATGAAAAGATAGAAATAATTTATGTTTATATTTTTCTTTTCTAGCCTGTCCAGCACAAAGCTCATTAATAACTTTTGATGATATAATAACTACAACGAGTATATCAGGAATTCCAGTACCAAGCGGCTATAATCGTTTAAATTGGCAAAATGTTCTGGTTGTGAATGGTGTAAACTATTTTACTCCTAATACTGGCTATACGACGGGTGTTGTTAGTCCTCCATATCTTGTCTTTAATGGATATGGTAATCCAATGACTATCACAAATATGGCTACCAGTACATTTACAATAAATTCATTTTATTCATGCGCAGCTTGGCATGATAACACTGTATTGACAATGATCGGTACAAGATCAGGCACCGTTTTGTATACGAAAAAAGTAGAACTATTTACAGAAAAGAGAACCTTTGTTGAACTTAACTGGTCTGGCATCGATAGCATAAATTTCAACTCGAGTTGTGGTTCATGCGATGCGAGTCATGTCACAATGGATAATCTGTGTGTCACATTCTAAAAACGAGATGTTAAACAACACAAAGATTGGTGTTCATAGAAATAAAATTGTTCTTCACTCTTAAAGGCTATGCGGTTCAACAATTGACAGCGGCCCTTTTTTTAACCAAATAAGAATGGCATAGCTGGCCGTCGGAAAAATTTTGATTTTGATCTCGTATATTGCATTGGAAGACCTATAAAAAGTTGGCGCATGGGCCAAAAAAACTCAGCTCTTGAAAGCTAACCTGAACGAAGATATCATAGATAACATTTTAGCCTCATACACGTCTATGACAAAATAAGCAAAAAACGGACACGTTTGGTATTTTCCATGTATTTCAGTCATTTCTCCGCCATTTTTGGCGTGAAAACCACCAATCGATAGAACATTAAAAACTGCATCGAACGCTTTCCTATGTTACGCGTCAGCAGATGCTGAAATGTAATTATAATACAGCCATGATCATAATAAAATTTGAAGACTATTCGGGCTCTATCTTTGCCCATTGGTGATATTACACAAATCTGATGATACATTCGGAAAACTCGTGAAATTTTGCATCAATATAGATTAAAATCAAAACAAAATATTACTCGACGAACTGGTTAGAGACACTCACAACACCATCAGTCCCCGTTACTGAAGCGATTCTCACCAGTGTCAAAAGCAGAGAGAGATGAGTGTCAGCTACATAACCCAGGAATCAAGACAGCTACACATCTGCGGCTTTTGGTATTCGAAAGAGGACATCGGGAATCATCTGTCCATATTAGATTTGATAGGTCAACCAAGTGGACAAGGGTGTGGACGCGGAGTGTCGATGTGAGCTGTGGATCTGGGGTGTTGGTGGGTGTGAATGGGTGTCGGTGTAGGCGTGTGGGTGTGGCTGTGGGTGTAGGATGTGGGTGTCGGGGTGGGTATGGATGGAGGTGGGATGTGAATATGGGTGGGGTGGGGTGTGGATGTCGGAGTTCGTCTTCTTTCGCGTCGAACATTCACACTCCACACCTACACCCACACCCACTCCATCTAGACCCACATCCAGGCTCATATCCATCCAATCCAGACCTACATCCAGGCCCACATCCACCCCAGCCACACCCTCCTTACTCACACCCACACAGCCACGTCCCACACCCATACTCCACAGCCACAGCCACCCCCACACCCACACCCTTAATAGTTTAGCGATGAGGGTGATAATTTCACCTGAATATGGTTAGACTTTTTAACTGATAATAGAAACAATACAAATTATGGCATCTTTTGGTTGGTCACGTCGATTTGTGAGTATGAAAACGATTGCAGCAAAGATATAATTTTGATTGTTATGAATGAGACTAATGGTCAATTCTCATTTCACGAGGAATTATAATAGCGCCGTTAACAATTTCTTTACAGATTGGGAATTCTTATTTCTCAGTTCTTGAACACCGCTGAAGGGAAGGAGAAGGCCTTAATTTCAAATTCTCTCAAAACACTGATTTCTACAAAGAACAAATATTTATTTTTTAATGACACAAATTTTTGAAAGTCTTTCATCTCTACCGAAGCGAGATAGCAGAACTAGAAGATTAGAAAAACATATTTGCTTATCTACTATTCGTACTTTTTATCATATTTGAACACTAACGTTGGCAAAATTGTTCCTGTTAACCCCATTCTTCGTATATTCCTTGTCCTAAACTGAATTAACTTCTACGAAGTGTCAAAATAAGTTTTATTTATATAAAGGGAAATAATTGAATAATTCGAGTGAATCTATATCAAGACGATTGATATAACTACATATATATATCAACTAAAAAAACCATCAATGTTTTGTTTTCTTGATTTAATCCTACTCAAGAATTTTTCTTCATCGGTTCGACTTAATTTAGGTGTTTAAAACATGAAAAGAAAATCCTTGACTTTTAGTTCAAAAGTACTGAAAACATAGAACTTTGTCTAATAAAAAGAACATTTATACTTAAATATTTCAATTTTAATGTCAGTTTTATCATTTGAATTGTCATTTCATTTATTTTCAAAGTTCATGGGAAGATAATCTCTCGTGTTAACGTTGGAATCTTATGTATGAGATGGAGATTGATCAGTTCCAGTATCCAATGGTATATGTTTGGTAAAATCAATACTAAACTTCTATAGTTATTATTTTATACTAATAATAAAGAAATATCTTATTTTTTTTGCTCGTAAGGAAACAAAATCCATATTTTGTTTTAGTTGTCTATTTAAACAGACTAAGAAATTCGCATAAATGTTCGCAAAACTGGATAAATTAAGTTCACAGAAGTTATTTAATACTAATGATTAAAACAAAACAAACACTTATTTAATCGTCTTATCAAATATTACGAAAGAAGAAAAAATGAAAATTGACCAGAAATATGACAAAAGTGAGATCCAAGATCAAGTCTTGTAACATATTGAAGATGAATATCGGTCAGTTTTCATTGTAACACATTCAATGATGATTATAAAAAGATGGTATACTCAGATTTAGTAACAAATTTTTCTTGTACTATTAAAAGAAAAATGATATTATTGAATTAATCGGCATAATCTAATGGATAAAATAAATCAATATTATTAACGATAAAGAACGGTATGACCGATACGAAATTTCTTTTTCTTTAATTTCATAAAATTTTTATTTGATTATTAAATTTAACTAAATGCCTACCCATATTAAATTGAATACAAGTTATATAATATGAAACTGTTTGAGAAATATATCATTGCCAATCAAAAATACTTGGATAATCTGTAGAAAATAAAAATAAATTCTGTTTTATCATAAAACAATCTTCTTACATAATACCATCAAAAACAAATTAGGTTTGATTATTCTAATTGATGATATATGTTGATATGACATTATTGAAACAAAGAAACATTCTACATTTATTCAACCATACTTAATAAAAAATTTATGATTTTTAAATGAGTTTTCTATTGTTGAAATATTATTCAATAGTAATGGATATTTCGATATAATATAAAAATTAAAATCAATCAGATTTCTCCATGTATCAGTCATACAATATCGACTAATAAAATTTGCATCAATAAGACAATATCTTTTCGTTAAATCTTGTTCATATCTTAAATTTATATCAAGATGAAATTTGAATGTTTCAATATGATTAATATTATTAAGAATCCATTTTAGATATACAAATTTAGAATAATCGTGAATTTTACTTTTTAAAATAAAATATTTTAATTTTGAAACCTGCAATTACACAAATAATTCATCTCAAAATACATTTTTATTTACCGTTTTTTCTATATAAATCATCCAACGGAACTTAACAAACGAGGATTTTGAAATTATTTTTATCGATAAAAAGACAATAAGTAACTTATGTTCTCTTTCACATTCTTCTCATCGATTTTTATTTATTTTTGAGATTCAAATATTACCTTACACTCTAATAATCTATTTAAGTTAAGAAAATGCATCAGTCATCAATATTTTCCCTTTTTAATAGTCGCGAGATATACCGTTTCTTTTTCTACAAGAAAATAGTGAAATATCGATCGTTCGAAAATTAACGTGAGAGGTTAATCTGGCACACGTGAAAGGAATTTGTTGATCTTGAACAGAAGCAATCGTTC